CAGCAGTTCAAACCCCACCCCGCCCAACTTCCTCTAGTCCTATAAAGATGTGCAGTCTGAGGAACGCAAAGAGGTTGTCCGCTCTGCCCCATAGGGTCTTCCCGAGTCAGAATCGACTTGGCGGCATTGGGCTTACCTAGTTCCTCATCCGAAAATGGCGATAACAATACAACGTTGGTTTGGGTGGTAGTTGTTCCTGGCACAGGGCAGGCGCTCAGTGTGCCAGTTTCCTCCCTGTCTCCTTTAGCTCTGCTCATCCTCAAAGCCTCGCTGTGGCACTGACGGTGAGGGGTGGCTCACAGCAGATGCTCACGCATTTGCGGATAGGCATTGTAAAGGAGCCCTGAGCAAAAATGCAGCTCTCTAATACGCTAGGGGTTCCTTCCTGAGCTAGATGGCTCCTTTGGTTCCGATTAGGCTCATGCACAGCCCCACACTGCAGGAAATCTGCTCTGTGGGTGCTGGGCTGTGCACTCAGCAGAAAGCAAGTCCGTGCAGCCTCCCCTCCTGATTTAGGGCGTGGAAATGAGCAAGTCCTGAATCAGTCAATGCAAAGCCCATACTCATGAGGGCTGGGTTCCACTGGCCTTCTGTGCGCGCCTCGATAATCAGAGTCACAGGACACAGCCTGGCTGTTGGCATCACCCCTGCCTGGCTTCCAAAGCTGGGCGTGTCCTGCCTAGATTCTGACAGCAGCCTGGACACACGCTCCCCGGCTCTTGGATTGCCCAGCCCTCCTCAGTCTTTTCTCCCCCGAGAGCCATGGCTACCTTCAGAAGAGCTGATTGTGTTGTTCTTGCGCTTCATGTTCTGCCATGATGACAGGTGGACACAAGGGTTACAGGCGGATGAAACCCTTGGGCAGCATCAGGAGCAGGAATAAGCCTGATGATGTACTGGATTACAGGTTGGGTTGCTAACCACAAGGTCAGCAGTTCAAAACCACCAGTGGCTCCATCGGATAAAGATGAGGCTTTCTACTCCCAGAAAGGTCTACAGCCTCAGAAATCCACAGAGACAGTTCTTTAGAGTCACTATGAGTAGGAATTGACTCAAGGGCAGTGAGTTCTGTTCTTTTGCTTTTTACCCTCTAGTCTTGCCTTCCCTCTCTCCTGGTGCTTCATTCACACTGAACAGCTGCAGTTCCTGGAGCTGGCTCTGCGAGATTTCTTCTAAGGCCCAATCAGTATACCTGCAATGTTCCCTCCCTTTGCAGATCTTCATGTTTGAGTGGCCAACTGTTCCTCTTATTGACTCTGTAAGACATCACTTCTGATCCACCTATTTTTCTTCTTCTTCTTCTTCTCTTCCTCTCTCTCCTCTCCCTTCTTTTGCCGCCTCCTCCTCCTCCTCCTCCTCCTCTTCTCCTTTTGTTTTGAATAAGCAGTATATCCAGCTGGTTCTGCTTTTCCTAGATGTGTACTTTGCACATTTCAAGTTCCAATCATTAGCGTCGTTTTGCAAGTTGTTGCCCTCACCTTAAGTTGTGCCCCATCAGCTTGGGTCCACATGGAAGCAGCAGTCAAGAAATCAAAAGATGAATTACATGAAGGTAAATTTAAATTTGCATTCAAGAAATCTGTACAAAAGGCGTCTGTAGAGTATGGAAATGCAAGGATGTTAGGTTGAGAATTAAGGTGCGCCTGCCCCAAGCCATTGTATTCTCTATTGCATTACATGCACGTGAGAGTTGGACATCGAATGAGGGAGACCTAAAAGGAATCAATGATTTGAATTGTGGTGCTGGAGAAGAATAATGGGTGTGCCATGTTCTGCTAAAAGAACAAACCTAGTTGTCTTGGAAGAAATAAAGCCAGAGTGCTCCTTAGAGGCAAGGATGGCAAGATGTCGTCTTACGTACTATTTTGGACATGTTGTCAGGAGAGACCCAGTCTCTGGAGAAGGACAGCATGGTTGGTAAAGTGGAAGGGCAATTAAAAAGAGGAGGGATCTCTAGGAGATGGATTGAAACAGTGGCTGCAACAATGGGCTCAAGCATGGGAACTACAGTTAGCATGACCCAGGACCATGAAGGGTTCCGTTCTGCCATGCATAAGGTTGCTACATGTTGAAACTGATTCCATGGCACCCGGCAATAAAATATATACTTCAAAAAGTCAAAGGACTCTATATATTTAATTATAAATAAATCATTTTATTGGGGACCCTTGCAGCTCTCATAACAATCCATACATCATTTGTAGCAAGCACATTTGTACACATGTTGCATCGCCCTTTAAAAATATTTCCTTCCCGTTTATACCCTTGGAATCAGCTCTTCTTTTTGCTCCTCCCCTCCCCCGCTCATGGACCCCTGATAAGTGATCATTATTTTCATATCTTACACTGCTTGCAGTGTCCCTTCATCCACGTTACTGCTGTTCGTCCCTCTGGGCAAGGGGTGTCTTCTAAGGTGCCCATTAGGGAGTCATTCCCCTTCTCCGTTCCTGCTGTGTCCAACTCCTTCCACCTCCTGAAGGTGATTGCTTTGATCACTTCCTGTTGCGGCTCCCTCCAGAACTTCTGTCTACAGGTGCAAGCAAAAAAAACGAGTACATACTGTGCTGTTACTCACTTTCCTGACTTAGAAGTATGCGTTACGTACACGTTCATTCTTATGTATATCTGTGTGTGTCCTTGATGCTGTGTGCCATCGAGTCAGTTCTGAATCCTAGCAACCCTGCAGGGAATAGAATTGCATTTGTAGATAAACTGCTCTTTGCCACTGAGTGGGTTCCAACTCCCAGTGAGCTTCTAGAACAGAACAGAACTCCCTCCGTGGCTTTCTGCGGCTGGACATCCTTACTGGAAGAGAAAGCTTCATCTTTCTCCCACAAAGATGAGGATTTCAAACAGCTGACCTGTGGTTAGTGTCGTTCATGTACTTCCCTTCGTGAATATTTCATCGTCTTGAAAATATGACCTCGCCAGCCTTTGTCCCTTCTGCAAGACCGGAAGCGGGTCTAAGACAAGGAGTGGGACTCTGCACGTGAAGGAGAAGGAGTGAGGAGGGGGGACAGGGCGGAAGGAAGAAATCCAGGAGCCTGTGGTGCTGTGGAAGTCAGCAGAATGGTGTCACACTCTTCACCATTGAGGTGCTGCTTCCTCATGGCAACCCTGTAGGACAGGGTAGGACTGTCTCCGTGGATTTGGAGACTGCTGTCCTTTATGGGGACCCCATGGAGCGGCAGTGGCTTCTAACTACTGAACCTTGTGGGTTGGAGCCCAACTCATGACCTCTAGCCCATGCTAAACAATCCATCTAGTGTGGAAGCCAGTTTATCCATCCTCCTCCCCCTCCCATCATCCACACATCAATCCATTAGGCTTTGCAGACACTTTCTCCCTCAGGAGAAGGATATTGACAGATTTCCTTTTTTCTTTTCCTATGTCATGTTGGGAGTCTTCCTAAATCAATGTTAAACTCTGCTTTTCTATCTCAAGCGAGCCACTACCCTCAAGCCAATTCCAATCACGGGTCCTCTAGGAGAGAGGGGAACTATTCCCTGGGATTTCTGAGGCTGTAGATATTGAGGGAAGTAAATAGCCTCCTATTTCTCCCACGGAACGGCTGGCAGATTTGAACTGCCAACCTTGCAGTTAGCGGACCACCGCTTATTCCACAGAGCCACTGAGACTGTTCTCTGAGTACTGGACACATGCCTCGTCATTAGTGTGTGAACGTAAGACTACACTAAGGGCACCTGACCACATCTCTGAGAGGTTAGTAGTTTCTTCTCTGCTGAAGCTGGATGGCCCACACAGAATTGGAGTATAAAACAACCGTGGTGAGCAGAAGGCATTGGGGAGCCATCATTGCAAAGTATATGCCATCATTTTCCTGTTTCCACAGGGTCACCCCTATGCCCTTGAATTAAGATTTCTTTCTTTCTTTCTTTTCTTTTTCCTGTTTCGACTTTAGAGTAAATCAGAGATTTGTGATGAGCTTTATCTTACCCATTTTCAGGAAGATTTTATATGATAGAGTTGCATTTGGTCATTTCACTTTGGGGATTTTTTTCCCATCTAAAATTAATTCTTCCCTCGTTAAGATTCTGATGATAACATCACTCTGGCTTATTTTCATGGCTCTTTTCACGGAAGCAGAACCCCACGACCCGCCCAGGGTGGCGTCCTTCTAGGAGGAACAGCCTGGCGAAGCAGCGGGTGGGGGGTGGAGTGGGGGGAGGGGGGCAAAGAAGAAGAGAGATGAGGAAATCACTCACTATAGTCTGAAAAATCACAAATAAGAGTCTGATCAGTTGTATTCTTGTATGCAAGTCTCCTGCTCTCCTGCAGGCCCAGGCTTGAGAGATCAGTCTTTAAGGCAGGTGAGAAGAGAGTCGTTATTATTGAAGCCATGAACGGGGCCACGGGGGAGGAGTGACGGTGGGGGGAGGCGGGTACATGGTTGAGGGTCCAGGGTGATAGGATGGGCAGAAGGCAATACCGCAGGGAGAAAGGGTTAGGGTGTTGTCCTCACTCCCAGAATCAGTCGTGTTTTTGTGTGTAACCACAGCCTTTCAGAGAACGACAGTCTCTCCCCAGTGCCAGCCTTCCCCTGCCTGCTCTGTCCAGAGGCTTTGCCACTGAAAGTCAGAAACCCTATGCTATGATCATCCTACTTAGGCACTCGCAAGTGGAAGTTCATCTTTGAAATATTCAGCGGCATTTTCGAGTCTTCCAAGAAAGCCATACAATGAACAATGCCAGTAACAATTACGAAACGAAATCAGCCTTCTAAGAATAAAAAAGAATGGGAGAAAAGAAAAAAATCAATTTTACCAGTTTACATTCCCAGGGACTGATTTCCATGTAAATGACCTGACTTGATCCAGACTGAACGCGGGCCTGTATCCTCCTTACGTGTGGCCGCGGTTCCTTTGTGCTGTTGTCCATGTTTTCCCAGTGGGGGTGTACTCAGACGTAGCCGTAGCTGAAGGCACGTGGGTCTGTGTTGCTATGTCCTAATTACAATGATGTTGTTCTCTTGTTTGCAGTGTATCAGTTACAGCAGGAGGCGCCCCGTCCCAAGAGGATCGTTTGTCCTCAGGAGGTCAGTGTGTTTCCCGTGCACCTTGTTATTTATGATGAATGTCAGGGCTGCCGGTTGATTGGAGAGGCTTCCTGGTTTCCTGGGAGTTGATTTCTATTAGCATTGCTTGCACTGTCACCACATTTAACATCATCATCGTCTGTATTTGGAAAGCTTGAAGAAACCCTTTCGCTTTAAAACCGTGAACCACCTATTTAACTTGGAAACCGACATCTCGGGCTTTTAACCATTGGAGGCAGGCAACTGAGTAACCCCACCACCCACCCACCTTTACCCCACTACCACACAAAAACAGTGCATTCTGGTTATTTTTCTTCTTGCTGCTGTTTTGTCTCTCAGTCTTTGAATAGCATTATGGGATGTCTCAAACAGAAACCATCCAGAAAATAAATAGCCGGGCAGTCACAAAACCCTTATGTAGCAAACATTCACTTTAGTGCCTTGCCATATTGACTTTCCATTAAAAAATAATAATAAGCTGCAAGAAAAGTGGCTGAGTCTTCCTTCTTGAAGATAAGCATGAAAGAAGAGAAAAAAACGGAGGCTGACACATAAAAATGCTTATCCGCCTACAGAACTTTCCAGAGCCCTCTTTCAGTAATCAGTTCTCTTATCGCCCAGGATGCCAGCGAGCTTTGAAAGGCAAGGCTGAGATCTTCTATTTGGACTCCAGACAGTTTATTTAATAGCAAAACTAATGTCCCTCAAACCAAAGGCCCTGGGGTACTTGATTATTCAAAAATACTCCTTTGATTAAATATGGAGTAGCAGATACCTTTTTTAAGTGCCGTGTCTGCCTTAGCAAGGGGAACAGGCCTCGAGTCCAACACTCTGGGGAGTCGGCTGGAGCATCGGTACTTCCTGGAAGGCAGGGCTGCTCACCACTGTACCAACGCTGCACTAACATCCGTGCTTGCGAGTGGACTGAGTGGGCTGGGTTTTGACACTAGCCCATAACCACATCCACAGAGTAGATGTACTCGATTTCCTTAACACCTTTCTGCAGCAAATTTCACCGCTCTCAAGACACTGGAATCCATGGGATCATTGGCATGCCAAATAGACTTCCTCGTTTTAGGAGAAAAGATAGGCTCTTTGAAGGAATGCCTGACGAGGCCAGATCTTTATTTGGAAGTCGGCTCTTGCCACTGCCATTCACCCTGAGGTTTATTGTCCTTTGAACAGTCACTCCAAAATCTAGCTCGCTGCCATTGAGTCGGGTTGGGCTGATAGCGACCCCATAGGATGAAGCAGAACTGCCCCTGTGCATTTCTGAGACGGGTTTACAGGAGTCGAAAGCCTCATCTTTCTTGCTCAGAGCAGCTGGTGGTACCGGACCGCTGACCTGGAGGTTAGCGTTCCAGCTCCTAACCCACTCTGCCACCAGGGCTCCTCTTAATAATCCAAATAAGCAGAGAATAGGACACAACATTTTCTTTTTTTTTTTTTTTTAAACATTTTATTAGGGGCTCATACAACTGTTATTGCAATCCATACACACATCAATTGTGTAAAGCGCATTTGTACGTCATTCTCAAAACATTTTCTCTCCACTTAAACCCCCAACATTAGGTCCTCATTTTTCCCCTCCCTCCCCCCTCCCCCCTCCCTCATGAGCCCTTGATAGTTTATAAATTGGTATTTTGTCATATCTTGCCCTGTCCAACAACATTTTCAATGAGATGCTTCAAAAAGGGTATACAGTACACATGGATCACATCTCTGGTGAACCCCCTCTCCCCACAGTCGAGGGAAGTGAACAGCCTTGCTTTCAGACAGGGAATCGTAAAGCCAATTACAGCAGATGTAGTTAAGTTAAATTGTAACACTCTATCCCCTGACTTCCCCTTTGACTCATTTTAAAGTTGTTTAAGTTTTTAAATTGTTTCTGCTTTCCCTTTGAGGTTTTTCTGTTTGTCTAGTTATTGTTGTTGTTTGTTTGCCTTGTATGACTTTGTATGACTGCGTTTTGTATGTTTTTCTGGATATGAAATCCAGAGTAGGTAGATCTATGGAGACAGTAACTGGATAGGGGCAGGGAATGGGGAGTTAACAACAATGAATGTAAGGAAAACATGTTCTGAAATCAGTTGTGATGATTGTACAAAGTGGCTTATTATGAATGAATTATTATATGACCTGTGAAGTATATGCCAATAAAGCTATTTTTAAAGAAGATAATGGGATTTATAAAAAATTTCATGGGAAATTTCATATTTGATAATTTCCCATTATAAAAAAAATGGGAAATTCAAAATTTGCCATGAAATGTCTGAAGCCCCCTCATCATGTAATAAGCAGCTAGAGTGGTTTACTTCCATTCCAAAAAGGTTGGCCAAGACTACAACGAAGGCGTGTTCGAGGGGCATTGCAGCATCGCCACACAAGAGCAAGCACCAGCTCTGGAGGCAGTCTGCATGGTTCCCTTTGTTGATTGACACAGAAAGAATATCCCAGGGTCTACTCTCCATTAACTTTAATCTACGTTTGGGGAAAATAGCAAAGAAGTTGACTCTCAGCATTTCGAATGTTCTAGTAAAGGAGAAGGAAATAATGAGGTATACGAAGTTTCAAAAGGTTTGCAGGAAAATCTATGTAAAAGAGAGTGGAATTATCCCCTGAAATTTTGGAAGCTCCTCGGTAATTTAGACATACTTAAGATCTTGCCTGTGTACTTGTGCATGAGTGTGTGTGTGTGTGTGTGAGAGAGAGAGAGAGAGAGAAGATTGAGATTCTCTTTTTCTCCAGAATCCTTGCTGAAGAAACCAATTCCAAATCCATGAATCATAACGAAATTGAACCAATTCCGGCTCATAGTGGCCTTGTGTACAGCTAGAGGAAACAGTGCCTGGTCCGGCTCCACCCTCAGAGTGCTTGGGACCGTGGTAGCTGTCCCCTTAGGGCAGGTGGGCTGTGAGTATGATCCCAGGTGCTCTTCCCAGGGGTCAGCTGGAACTCTGCAGACTTGCTCAGAATGAGGGTCCACTGCACAGCCATGTAATGCTGCCTTTGGTGAAGCCCTTGGTGACTATCCAGAAGTTCGCAGTTCAAACCCAACAGCCACTTCTCAGGAGAAAGATGTGACACACTCAACTGCTGTTGAGTTGGTTCCAGCTCACAGTGGCCGCTGAGGACAGGCTAGAACAGAGATGTGACACAGGGCTTCGGCAAAGCCCTGGGAACCCTAGGGGGCAGTGTTTCTCTGTCCAATAGAGTGGTGATCAGTAGAAGTTGGCTCATTGGCAACAGTTTTTTTTATTTTTATTTTGCTTCCAAAGGAAGGGAGCTCTGGTTGTATAATGGGTTATACATTGAGTTGACAGCCACAAAGTCAGTGGTTCGAACCTACCAGTCACTAAGACCAGTCACTATGCTGCCCCCATAAAGATTTACAGGCAGTTCTACCCTGACCTATAGGGTTGTTGTGTGACAGAATCAACTGGATGCCTATAAGTTTGGGGTTGGTTTTTCCAAAGGAAGAGCTATATATACCTTAACAAAGCAAAGCTGTGTGTTGTTATTCACCACTGCCATAATCTATAACCCAAGATATGGTGTGAGCGTTTGTCTACCTTTAATATATATATATATGTATATATATAGCCATCAGTAGAGGTTTTTGTATTTATTTAAAAGAGATAAAGGAGAACATTGTATTCATGAAACAAGGACATAAAATTGGGAAACACGGACAAATTGCTTTACAAAAGAGACATGACAGAACTTAGAAATGGACAGCATGATTGCTAAGAAACAGGGTAGATAGCAATCCTGTAATTGTTATGAACCGGTTTAGTGATAGGTGCTAAGGCACAGGGATGATGAATGAAATCAGAGATGGTCTGTGAACGGATAGACGTACTAAGGAGAGGGAGACATTGGTGAAATGGTCACTCCTGCAAACTGAACGTACTACCATGAGAGCTGGTGATGGCGAAGGGACGTCCCCTAATCAGATAGGGCAGGGAGAACTGCCCAATGGAGGGCAACTGGGTTGAGACCAGCAGCATGAATAGGAGCTGTCCATGCAAAAAGGAAAGAAGAACTCCAAGTAAAGGGAGCAGAATTCCAAGTAAAGGGAGCATCAAAGAGTTTTTGGGAAAAATCAGGGTTAAAAGATAATGGATATTTCCCCCCTGAACTTTTATCCCCTGTTGACCTTTACCAGCTTACCTCGATGATGAATAGGTTATACCTGGTGGCTATTTGATTTGTATGTAGCTGTCATCTAAAATGTCCTTATCAAGTTTTCCCCCAAGAATAAGATGACCAGACGTCCCGCTTTTGGGTGTTTTAAAAAAGTCCCGATTTTTGGAAAGAATGCACGACAAGCTAGGGAACGGTCTATTTGGTCCATATAGACCAAATTTTTAATCAAGAACCACCCCCCACCCCCCACCGGTCAATGGTGCCCTGCTTTAAATCTGGTCACCTTACCCAAGAAGCCTCTTTTGCAATGGTTACGTATCAGCAAACAATATGGGGCTCTTCCAACGGGGCAGGGGTCAGGTGGTGCAGGTCAGGTTTGCTGGCAGAGCGGATGCTGTAGGATAAGTGCCAGCAGGAGTGGCTTCCATTCGCTCTGTCCACCTGTGTGATATCACCTGCCCAGACTGCTGAGCCTCCGGCCTCCTGTGTGTGCCTGAAGCTCCGCTCCTCTCAGATGCCCGTGGGACAGGTGTGCCTGCTGTAGCCAGTGCTTAGTCAAACATCACCTTCCTGATAAGACACCTTCAGGCAGGGGGCATGTGCCCAATGAAGACAGAGCACCTTTCAGTTTGAATGTGTGGGGAGATCAGAGCCTTATTAATGCTTTTACTTGAAGCCATAAAAACTGTTTCTTGTGAACACTGAGTTATGATTCCCCCCCCGCCCCCCATGATTGCAGAGAAAAGCTTCACCCCTTAGCTAGGCATTCAAAGTCCATGTGTTAGACCTGGTTGACTAGAGAAACAAACCCAAGGGCATGCATATATGTATAAGAAAGAGCTTTATATCAA